TGAAATGAAGAATTAATATAAAATACAATATAGATTATAAAAACAAGGTGAATTAATACTTCTTTTCCCTTTTATTTTTAAAGATATTTACTTTGAAGTAACAATAAAATGTTTATGATTGGGAAAATCCTAAAATTTGCAGCGTCACTCTTTAATAAAGAATGTATTCATTAAATTGAATATTTAGTTATAAGTATATATGATTCTAATTTATTTATCAATTTTTAAGTATCCTAAGGATATCTTCCCTCAATCTAAATAAATTGAACCACTTATTAAAAGATAAATTTTATATTCTCAATTACATAATCAACTATTTAGTATTATTCTTTCCTTTTTTTAATACGTCTATCAGCAGGTTGTTTTATTAATGGATTAAATGGATATGATGATGGATTGCCATGAGGAAATATTTGAGGGTACAAAATCATATTAGATATTGGGCCACCCATTCCTGGTGGTGGTGGTAATGGTATACCTGGTGGAGGTGGTAATGGCATACCTGGTGGTGGTGGTAATGGTATACCTGGTGGAAATTGTATATTTTGTGAAATTGGAATAACTGGGTTACATGTAATATTAGAAGAATTGTTGACATTAGGACTTTGATTAGCCATAGATTGAATTCTAGATGAAGCTGTGCTAGTTAGTGAATCATCAGAAGTTTCAATTGTTTGTTTCTTAATTCTTTCCCATCTAATCACCAATTGTCTAATAATATATTCTTTAAATGATTTTTCTGTAAAGCCATAATTGAACCAGGGAGATATATCAAGTAACCTGCTCCATGGTCTATTTTCAGTACTAGTTTCCCAAACCATTACTAAGTTATTTATAGGATTAGTATCTGAAGTAGTTTGTTCAGGCTCAATAATCACAGTAGAATTTTTAACAGGTATATTAGATATATTAGATATAGATCCAATGTCATTTGATATTCCTGTTGTTACAGTCTGTGACGCTTTTATAGAAAAGTCATTTAATCCACCCTCTCGATCAACACCACATATAAGAAATTTTACATCTTCATCACTTTC